TTTTTGCCCCATTCTGTGTTATCTTAGGTCACTATAAAAAGGTTCCAGACAGATGATCCAAACAGGTAATTCCAGATTACGCAGAAAATATCTTAATGATAAGATAGCATTGTTTTCGATTAATTCCTTTCCTTAGGCATCAAGCCGATAGTGGCAATGCAAATTTTGTCAGACATTTGAATCGACTAATAACAGTTGTCAAACAACAACTGACACTTTATAAACATCAATACTAATTCCATTATTGTACCTCAGTTCTTAGTTTGTTTTACAGTCTGTATAGGAATTTTGAAGCATTTTTCCCCGGTATGAATTGAAAACAAGCATGTACAGCAGAATTTATTGGGGCCAACAAATTTCGTGACGGCTTTTCAACTGCAACCCGTCTCTGCATAACATAGGTAACGAATGAACGCGCACAGCAGTATGAATTTGTACAGAATGGCAGTGCATAGGAGCAAGGTCAAAGTTCAAATTAATCAATAATCAGCTAAGACGTCCATATAAGCATCAAAAAGGAAAAAAGGAAGATGAAATGTTAACAACAAATCACAGTCAGAGGAAAATAGAGGCGTGAGATTACCAGGGCAATTGCAGATTGATCACGTGATCTAACTGCTTGCACAGGTCTGGTTTCTCCCTCCGTATTGGAAGACTCAGTCTGGAAAAAATGTTCAAATTTATTGGACAAAAACCTGATTGATATTAAAACCGCACTTATCCTAAAACCGAGAGGTACACATATCCCCAGATTATACGGTCTACCAAAAACGCATAAAAAGGACACACCTTTACGACCAATTCTTTCTATGTCTAATTCACCTACACACCGACTAGCAAAATGGCTTTTCAAGGAGCTAGAACCAATTCGGCAATTGTGTTCCACCTACACGATAAAAGACAGTCTTCATTTCATTGAAGAAATTAAGGACCAGAACATCGCCGACAAGTGTATGATCTCATTAGACGTGGAATCCTTATTTACCAATGTACTTTTGGTTGAAACAATAGATGTTATATGCGCCCATGCGTCCAAAACCCGACTCTCCCCCGAACTACTACGAGATCTGTTGGTACTTTGCACCTAAGATGTTCAATTTCTGTTTAATGGGGAACTTTACAGACAAATTGACGTAGTCGCAATGGGTAGTCCACTTGGAACAACCGTCGCCGATGTTTTATGGGTTACCTAGAAGATAAGGTGTCCTCAAAATTAAACCTGACAACATTATACAGGAGATACGTGGATGATATATTCATGATTGTTGATAACAAGGAAGAGGCATCCGACCTACTTTGCCTGATGAATAATCTGCATCCTAAAATAAAATTTACGATGGAAATGGAACAGTTTAACAAGTTACCCTTCCTGGACGTCCTCATGTTTAGAGAGGATGATGGTTCAGTAAGACGCTCCGTCTTCCACAAGACTACGTGGAAAGGGCAATACCTACATTTTAAAAGCTTTGCGCCAATACAATGGAAGCGTAATCTAGTACATACTCTTTTTCAAAGAGCGAGAAATATTTGCTCCAGGGAGACCATAGATACAGAAACTGCCCGTATCAAAGAAGCCTTACTTAATCGTGGTTATCCTGCACGCTTCATTCAGAAGTACAGCAACCATTTACGGCCAAAGTTGACGGAACAGTCCGTTCCGAAGAAGCCCGTTATAATATGTCTACCTTTTAAGGGTGACAACGTCTCAAACACAATCAAGCGACGCTTGCGTTGCACTATAGAAAGAACGTACAACGCAGCAGAGCTTATCTTCATCAGTTCCACAAAAAGCCATCCAATTAACCGGGCAAAGGATGCCTTGCCAATGCACGCCACCCCCAATTGTGTGTATGAATTCACATGCACTTGCGGATGCAAGTACATTGGGCGAACGAAAAGGCAATTGGCAACCAGGGCCGCTGAGCATTTGCCTAATTGTCTTTTCAAACAGGAAAATAGAACCCCCCGTTCGTCTATAACGAAACGACTGTTAGATAGCGGTCATGTTGTCGACCCTAAAGCATCCTTTCGAGTACTTGTCCGAGCACGTGTAACTCGAACCTTGCGTTATTTGGAAGCAGCCTACATACGGAGGGAGAAACCAGACCTGTGCAAGCAGTTAGATCACGTGATAAATCTGCAATTGCACTGGTAATCTCACGCCTCAATTTTCCTCTGACTGTGATTTGTTGTTAACATTTCATCTTCCTTTTTTTCCTTTTTGATGCTTATGTGGACGTCTTAGCTGATTATTGATTAATTTGAACTTTGACCTTGCTCCTATGCACTGCCATTCTGTACAAATTCATACTGTTGTGCGCGTTCATTCGTTACCTATGTTATGCAGAGACGGGTTGCAGTTGAAAAGCCGTCACGAAATTTGTTGGCCCCAATAAATTCAGCTGTACATGCTTGTATAGGAATTGTTGGAGAACAATCGCATCAGTAATGTAATCTCTTAGTTTTAAGCATACCGTGATGCTTGCATTTTAATTGTTCGACCATGACAGACACCATCTTCTAATTTAGATTATGAGAGGACGATAAAGAAAGATAGAATGGGCATGACGTGCGCGAAGTCGGGAAGATAATTATCTGCCTTAATGAGAAAGTAACCAATATTACGTATATGAGAATCAGGTGCTCATTCCTAGATAAACATGTTAAAAACCAAGAAAAGTGCATTGACAAACTTACACACACAACGTAAACACCTTTAGGCAATTCGTATCCTATCGGCATTTTGTAGGGTTATTGTATTTGGGTATTTCTGGCTGTCTTTAGCACGTCATCGGAATATTGGAGTTGATTTGTTTTAGTGCAATCTTCAAATTTTTATCCATTTTCGCTTTGGATGCTTCTGCGAATGGGAACTGATGGTCGTAGATTTCGCCATCACCGACGCTTGCTGCCGATACGAAGCTGACATGACAATGCTTATGCATAGCAATCCTTTTAGAGACGTTAACACTGGCCGTTATTTGTTCCACCTCAAATGGCAAACCATTGGACGGATGTAGGAAATTGGCCTGCAAAAACAAAATATGATTTTAATTTAACCTATAAAAACGTTCAAAAAATACCGAAGTGCAATGCTCAATTTAGTAGGAGTTTCGAAATCATTGCGTACCTGGTCCACGTACAGATACGCTGGAAAGAGTAGATTTCGACAGTCATATCTGAATAAATCCCGATTGTGAAACACATGACAACCCGTCACTCGTATAATACTCCCAAGCTCAATGCACAGAAATCCATATCTATTCGTACTCACCTTATCAAAAAATACCTTGCGAATTTATGTCCAGAAATATTCCAACATTTAGCATTTACTTAGGGAAATGAATCAACCATTTTGAATAGTTGCAATTTAATGAAAATAATTTAAATGTAGCTCCATATAGCCATAGTTAAATTCTTTAATCTTGCTACGCATTGCAGACTGATAACGTCTGCCTTGTGGAACGCAGTCGTTACGATCACAAAGGGCACGATAATGCCGTGTTCTTTTAAAATTTTTTCTAACTGTTGAGCCGTGTTCATTGGACGCACAAGGCATATGCCCTACGCGTGCTGTTCTACATCAAATCATCTAGCTAAACGAATGTTTCAAAAATGAAAAATTGTTTAAGTCTGGGGGAAGTGGGGTTGAGCTCCGAAAAATAGTTGAAGGACAATAACATGACGTTTGCTTTTTAAAAAAAGGTATTTTCAAGTTTCGTATATTCGCAAAACGCCCTTGCTGACATTGCCGCTTCAAATTATTATATTTTCAAGTGATCGTCGAGCAATCATCACGCCAACATCCAACGCACGTGATGAAATTGCAGCAATTAACGACGCTAATATCGGCCATCACGCCACGTGCAACGATCCCTGATGAAGGGGAGAGAGCCGTGAATATTCATAGGTATGCGGTAGCATGGCTACGGCATCCTATATATACTGCAGCCGCATGTGCATGAACCACTCTTATCTGCTTATGTTTCTGATGATGGATTTGAGCAGGAATCCGAAACGTCAGGCTAATAAAGCTCTCGTCCCTGCGATCTTGTCTTCTTCTTCTTCAAGACTGCTTCCTGGGACTCGTCTGTTCGCTTCTATTGGCAATGTATTTGGGCGCGATGCGCTCCGATCGGCCCGGCGATGGGAATCCTTCGCCCTTCGGGAGGCCTCCAAGTATTCTGCAGAGGCGTCTCGACAATAATGTGTTTCCGAAATGTCTTTCATACAAGCCACCGGTTAACGCAGATTTGGCGAGACGAGCAGTATTTCAACATGGCAGAAGGATGATCCGAGTCCTCCTCCAAGATTGCCACGCGAGACTTCGCAAGTACCGTCAAAGGATTGACCAAGAACAGACCAGATGTTGTGAGTTCATGGGTGAGATTGGTACAAATCTGCTCCTGCAGAGGATAGGTGAACAAGCCAGCGAACAGAGAATGATATGCGACGCAGCACTGGGGAACAAATTCCGAAAGCTGCCCAATCCAACGTCGCCCAGAAACGGCATACTGGTGCACAACCTGTCGTCAAAGGAGCTTACGAAGGATCAGATGCAGGTTTTAAGGCACGAAGCTTCATTCAACACGACTGACGCCAAACCTGTAAACATGATTGCAGCAGTGTAATCAATCCTTAGTCAGACGGAGGCAACGGAGGAGACGAAGAGTCTCATCCGACACCAAGTGTCGTCTCTCCTAATGGCCCACAGGCTACGGGAAGTGCTTTCCAAGGTCGAACGTGATGCGCTTTGAGAACTCAAGGCCGACAAGGACTTGGTCATCGTGCCAGCGGACAAGGGGCGCTCCAAGGTTGTGCTGGACAGGACAGACTACCTTCAAAAAGCCAAAGCTTTACTGGAGGACCGACAGGTATATGTCCCATGTGCAACGAACCCTGTAAAAGCGCTGACACGCGAAATCAATGCTACGTTGTTGGTCTTGGAGAACTCGGGTGCAATAACACCGAATGACAGACGCATGGCGAGACCCCAAGATATGGCTTTGGCCCGATTCTATGGCCTCCCTAAGCTGCACAAAGACGGCGCTCCTCTCCGACCCATCGTGTCGCCCAAAGGTACTCCAACGTACGGACTGGCTAAGTGGCTGTTCCGGCGTCTCAAATTCCTGACCGCTGAGTCAGAAACCACGGTCTCTTCGTCAGCAGAATTCCTGGAGAAACTCAAAGGGGTAAGTCTCCATCCAAATGAGGTCATGGTATCTTTTGATGTTACATCCCTTTTTACTTCTATTCCCCAGGACCTGGCGATCGAGAAAATCGAGCTGCTTCTACAAAGCAAATACGATGAAAGGGAGAATCGTCTTGCACGCGCCCAAGTCCTTCAGCTGCTGCAGTTCTGTCTCAGGACGTATTTCACGTTCGACGGGACAATCAACGAACAGGTGAAGGGCGCACCAATGGGTTCGCCGCTTTCGGGGTTCATCGCCGAGGCGGTCCTGCAACGGTTAGAATCGCTGGTCTTCCAACACCACAAACCTCAGTTCTGGGCCCGGTGTGTGGATGATACCTTCGTCGTTATTGATCGGGATCAACTGCTGACATTCAAGGAACGTCTGAATGCCGTCTTCCCTGACATACAATTTACGATGGAGGAGGAAGAGAACAACCAGCTGGCCTTCCTGGATATCCTCGTATGCCGCAAGCATTGTGGTGGACTAAAGAGAAATGTGTTCAGGAAAGCGACAAATACGATGCAAGTACTGAATTTCCACAGGAACCACCCAATCAGTCACAAACGCAGTTGTGTAAGGACGCTCTATCGGCGTGTCGACACGCACTGCAGTGAGCCGGATTGCTGAACTACAATACCTCCGACGGGTCTTCAAAGTCAATGGCTACCCGCGCAACTTTGTCAACCGGTGCATACGCCAAATGGACGAAAGGCCTAACCGTACGGAGACCAAAATTTGGCGAGCGCTTCCATATGTCAAGAACGTTTCGGAAGCTGTTGGCCGCCTTCTCGCACCACTTGGGGTTGGAGTTGCACACAGACCGAAGGCAACCATCAGGCGTCAGTTGATGAAACCAAAAGACCCACTGCCACGGCAAGAAACGTCTGAAGTCGTTGATCGGATCTGGTGCAGTTGCGGACAAAGCAACTACGTCGGAGAAACCGGAAGACAGATCCGAACGCGAATGGCCGAACACGCTGCAGCAGTGCGGAGAGATGACGCCAGCTCTCAAGTTGCCACTCATTCGACGGCTTCCGTCCACACATTCAAATTTGACGAGGCCGAAATTCTTGCAAGAGGTAACAACCGCGTGAGCCGGGAGCTGCTTGAGTTATTGTTTACTGGCCGCCAGTCTATCAAAAAGTGCAATGATCTTCCCATTCAATACAGCGTGCTGAGACTTCGTCTAGGCGGAGTAATTGGCCACGCGGGGAGCGCACTGGTGAGTACTCTTCCCAACACCCGGGGCAGCGCGTCAGATCGTCGAGCAATCATCACGCCAACATCCAACGCACGTGATGAAATTGCAGCAATTAACGACGCGAATATCGGCCATCACGCCACGTGCAACGAGCCCTGATGAGGGGGAGAGAGCCGTGAACATTCATAGGTATGCATTCATAGGTAAGCATATTACTAAGGGTTTTTGAAATAATGTGCAGTTTTGGTTGATCTAAAGATATTTAATCCACCATTCTTAAGTGTGTTTTCAATAAGAAACGATTACGAACGTTAGATTTTAATATTGCGTATTATGCGACATAATTATAGGACATTGGTAATATAGCCTAAGCATAACACACCGTCATGGGTGCATGCATAGCCGGCACTAAGTACAAAGGCCTGCCTACCTGGTATGCGTTTTTCAATGCCCTTATAGATTTACGTACATTTTATCCAAAGCATGCACAAATGTGCTCTGTTATGCACTTAACAGGTAGGAACTCACCTTTTCTCAAAACGTCCTCCATCATTAAGAAGAAAACCCATGCAACCCATAGAATATAACGACATACGAAGAATACGCTGAATGCTTATTGAGGAGTGCTAAAATGGCCGAACAAGATGACACTTGGATTATTACTGAAATTATAATTTTTTTTAAAAATCCGGACTATGTTTTCATTATGAGATTAAAATCTAAAGAAAACGTTAATTAATACAGATAAAGTGCATGCATGAATACTGTTGCTCACGGTTTGTTAAGGACTCTGAAAACCATTCCGGAAGATAAACAAAAATTAAAAAAATGAACATTTCTTCTCTATTTGTAGAAAAGGCTCTGCTCACCGGAACAGGTTTTTTGGTGCTCACGTATCGAAAGCGTGGTCAGCGCCCCATTACATAAGCGTAAAACGCTCTTAATTAACCAGAAATTGCAAGTGACATGTCACGTTTGTCAGCCTCATGCTGATTGATTTTACCTCCGCTCGCTGCCTTGGCATCCCGTATGATGGTTGGTAGGCGTTTCATCTGCGTGCTTTGTGACTCACTGCGTCATCGGAGGGAGGTGGTTGAACCTTTTGATGGGTAGTCGGACTCAACCGTGCCCATCCGATTTACCAGATTGGTCCCCTTACCGAATATGCATCAGTAACACGTGGCCGAGAATTTCATCTAAAATTCAGCACACTAGTGCGCCGTATTTCCCTAAAATTGCACCTCATGATAAGCAGTATTACAACATCACTAAAGTACTAACTCGTGGTCAAAAGTATGCGTCTATATCCATGTTAATATCCCCTGCAATTAATCGCAAGCTTCGGACAAAGGTGCCAAAGAGATACTTTGAATTAAAATCGAGCTCAGGTTTACCTGGGCATGTTAAACCTGTCGGTTAAAGCAAAGCGCAAATGAGGTGCGAATATCCTCATCGTGTTCTAACTCTGGATGACCAATAAACAACTTTGCCTTACCTGAGGCTTGACTTAATGGGCATCAACAGTGACGATAAAAGTCAACTTAGTTCCATAGGGAATAAGGTAGAGGATAAGGTTATTTCAAAAAAGGACGTGACGGAAATATTTTCGGAACCTCTTCCACAGCAACCCAAATTGGCTGATCTTGCTAGTCAAAACAATATTTCAGCCATTCGGCAACCATTTCATCAGTTAGCATATCTACCTAACATTTAGTATATCAGTATCTAAAAACCGAAATGAAAAAATTGTGCTTATGAGCCGGTAGATTTTTGTTCGGCGTTGCTTTTGTAGGCTTCCAGGAGAAGTGTAAACAAAAAGTGCCATCCTCATCTCAGCCAACTATGTTAACCGTTCGCAAGCGGCTGGCAAGTTCGGACTCGCACCTAGGCGTATCACCACACCCTCTGGTCCCCAATAAAAAAACACTTTACGAGGCCGATGGGTTTTGGTAGTTAAGGTGGTTGGAATGTTAATTTGCCTCAAGCTGTGCTCGAGAAGTAGTGCGTCCAAATATTGCCTATCCGCTGAAGTCTCCAAAACTGGGAGAAATAATAAATTCACATTCTCCAAAAGTCATAATTAATTTACCTTTAAATGGTTGGCCTTTTTTATAGATGAAGTTAAACCCACCTTCTCCAAATCAACAGTGGTAAGGCGTGTTTTAACAGGAATGCCTAAAATAAGCCGGCAATGTCGACTAGTTTGGGTCTTGTGTTTCAGAAAATATTTAGAGTTTATCTCACAACGAAATGTTTGAGTGAATATACGCACTTCTTTATTCGAATTTAGCCCGCACTAGGCAGGCATCTATTTACAATAGGGACACAGTTGACTTTATTCAGCAAGGACGACAGTTTATCATATAGGGCATCTTAATCTGTAAGAAAGCGTTCTGTGAAGTGATTGCGATAATATCCTTCCTGCGTGGAGAAAAGTTATAATGCAGTTTTCGGCAACAGCGGACTCTGATAAGTTTGTAAATTATTCTAGCTTTCAGCGTACTTGACCTTCTGCGTGCGAAGATAAGACCTGCAGATTTTTTCTTTCATAACTTCTACATTCTATATTTGTTAAATAGATTAACCGAATTAGCGAGCTACCGGTCGTCTATTGCGCGGTATTGAAAACTGTAGTAGTTAACTGAAAAACGTCTGAACAGTGTCGGAAGAATATATCATGGAGATTATATTTTTCAAAGCACAGTATCGTATGAACCCAATAACATAATTTTTGTGGTTTGCAGCGTTTCAGCTTAGATCGATTGGTTTTAGCTGCCCGAACACTTTGCAGGCATAGACTGTTCACATTGTTTCGTTTAAAACGCGTTTGCAAGCTCATCCAAGTGTTTGAGCATTTGCCATATATAAAAGTCAACACATGTCGACGAATGTACGCTAAGTAGACACAATAATATTTGATAAGTATCTTCCTTAAACGTATTCTCAAAAACCAATGCTCTTGTGATAATTCGGGCATAAGAGATGAAACGTAATTCGGTTAATGCATGTTATCCTGTGAAAGTAAAAACATTAGGCAACATCTGCAGAATACCTCATAAAGACGATTTTGATGTGGCAAAAACACCCAGAACGTTGGGTAAAAAACGTCAATAAGCGCAATGATTCTGCGTAAAACGAATGTGGTGAAGCGTAGCTAGTCTAGTTTCAAATTACGCACTTGTCTTTGGAAATTCATGATCTGCAAAAACATAAACATAAACGAAAATAGGCAATTCAAAATAAACATTGGGTATTAAACAGGATAATTATAAATACGGTAGGGGACGCTCAACGAAGTTGTTACGGAACTCACTCGATTCGTTGTACACTACGGGCTGCCTCAACATCCCAACCAGAAGCCGCACAACGGCGAATGATATAAGCACTATGTTATTACCAGAAAACGCTAGGGAGACTAAAAAGGCCATTTTTGGCTTGTTAGCCGTCGTCAGTCAATCACACACAATCCCGCAGTGTGGACCACCCGAGGCGCAATCATGCCACCGGTTAGTTAGAAGTCTACGCTTCTAATCACTGGACAGTGAGCTCATTGTCCCGTCGCTTTCATTTGGGAAAACACAATGGTTGGAGTTGCTCACCGATCGTAGTTTCAGAACTCATTCGTTTCTTTGTGCCTTACAGGATGTCTCTCTAGCCCTACCAGCAGCCGCACAACGGCGCATGATATAGGCAGTATGTCATTACCTACAAAGGCAAGGGAGATTGGCATGGACATTTCTGGCTTATTAGTCGTCGTCAGCCATTCATACCCAACGGATAATTCGGAACACACGAGGCTCGAACTCGCGACCTGTAGGTAATAAGTTCACGCATCTAACTACTGGGCCATGACGAAATTGCCTGTCGGTTTTCTATCTGGATTTAAAAATGGTAGGCGGCGCTGACCGATCGTTGTTAGGGAACTTACTCGATTGGATATGCCCTACGGGCTGCCTCAACATCCCAACCAGCAGCCGCACAACGGCGAGTGATATAGACAGTATGTATTTACCGGGAAACGCAAGGGAGACTGAAAAGGCCATTTTTGGCTTATTAGCCATCGTCAGTCAATCACACACAATCCCGCAGTGTGGACCACCCTAGGCTCAAACATGCCACTGGTTAGTTAAAAGTCTACGCCTATAACCGCACAGTGAGTAAAAACGTCAATAAGCGCAATGATTCTGCGTGAAACGAATAAGGTGACGCGTAGCTAGCCTAGTTCCAAATTATGGACTTGCATTTGAAAAAACATTATTTGCGAAAATATAAACATGAACGAAAATAGGCAAATGGGTACAAAAACGATGCGTATTAAACAGGAAACTTATAAATAGGGTAGGGGGCGCTCATCTAAGTTGTTAGGGAACTCACTCGTTCCGTTATGCTTTACGGACTGTCTCTCTAGCCCAACCGCCTTGGGGCG